CAAAGCGAAAACCCCAAAAAAAAAAAAAAAAAAAAAAAAAGGAAAAAAAAGGCTACAGCAGGTTGTTTATACAGACCAAGTTTCGAAAGCAGTTGACACCGGTGGACCTCGGGGGCTCCCCTGGTTGCCAGCTGTCATTACTTCCAGGAACCGTGGAACATCGTGGTCCTTGGTCACCGAGGCGGTGTGGCCAGGCTTTCCTCGTGGCTCCAGGGCACGGGCTCTTGCCGGACAATGGGCGACTTTGTTTCTCCGGCCAAGACCCTGGCTGGGCTGGCTGCTTCCTGCCGGTCCCAAGGCAGCCCTTAATTCGCCCTGCCGATGCCAGTGGATGCGCGCCTCCGTCCCCCGCGGCTCCTGCCTTCCTGCGATGGGAAAGGAGAGGGAAGATGGTACCTGGGGAGCTCCTCCTCCTGAGACGAAAGCCCTGACTGGGTTCTCGCTTACCGGAACAGGACACCGTTCTGTCGTTTGTCTTGCAGTCTACACTTTCCTTCTCAAGACCCCCCTCAGCCGTTGCCTCCAGCGGGTTTCTTCACCGGCCAGCGCGGTCAGGTCCGCTTTCCGCAGCAGGGTCTCCCTGGCACAGGCCGAGGGAGGTCAGTCAGGGAGACACTTCAGAAAGCTATTTCCTGACAACAACAAGCAAGAAAGAAGACTTAACACCAGATTTCAGGGCTACCCTCGTATATGTGTGGTTAAGGCCGCTGAGTCCCACGTGGTCAGCAGTGGTTCGAATCTTGGACCCAGTGGCTGAAAAACACTCCAGGTGTGTGCACGTGCACGCCCCAGATCCCGACAGGATGGGCAGAGGAGGAGAAGGGATTACGATGTGACCATTCCCCCCCCAAGGGTGCTTTCTTCCTCTCACTTTTTTTTAAGAGGTTTTTGCGGGACCAGTAGTTGGCATAATGGCTGTGTTGCTGGACTCCACGTAGTCGAACACAGTTCGAATCCCGGACCCAGTGGCTTAAACTCATGCCTGGTATGTGTGCATGCGTGCCCAAGATCCCGAGAAGAGAATGGAGGAGAAGGGATTACGGCGTGGCCATCCCCCCTGGGGAGTAATTTCTCGCTTTCTATCTGTCTCTGTCTTTCTGGCAAGCACATGCGCCCTATAGCAAAAACCTCTCCCCCCAAAAAAGAGGTTTTTACTTTACGGTTTATGCACACTCACCAGAGAGAGACAGAGACAATGAGGGAAAGTGAGAAATAACCCCCGATAAAGGATGACCACGCTGTAATTTTTTTCTCCTCCATTCTTTTCCTGAGAACATGGGCACACATGCACATGTGTCTGGCATGATTTTCAAGCCACCAGGTCTGGGACTCAAACTGTGGCCGGCCATGTGGGAGTCCAGGGACGTAACTGCTGTGCCCTCTGCTGGCCACCCCTTCCTCTGTATCCCTCTCTTCCTCTGCCTCTGGGATATGCACAAGCCCTCTGGCCATTAAAAAGAAAATAAAACAAACGAAAACCAGGCCTCACAACAGAAATAGAAAATATCCGTCCCCCGCCCCCAAGGGAAGGCCACCTGAGTGGGAAACAGAGCTGAATCTTGTGCTTGGAGCATTTAAAGAAGGTGCAGGGGAGTGTGTCCCGCATGGAGTTCTCTCAGGTGGAGGCCTCCTCTCGGGTGGAGGAACCATGCCAGGAGACTGTCCTTGTCGGGAGGAATAGAGCAACGGGTAACTATGTTCGGCTGACCGTGATTCTAATCCCCGAGCACGCGCCGCCTGACAGCTGGCCAAGACTAACAGGCTCATTCTGCGTCCTCAGTTTACGTGGCCGGGAAGAACCTGCTGATGCAGGCACGGTGGTTCCACATCCTTGGACTGGTGATGTTCCTCTGGTCGTCCGCCCACCAGTACAGAAGCCACGCCATCCTCGGCGGCCTCAGGAAGAATAAAGCAGGTGAGACCTCCTTCAGAGGGTTTGAGCCCTCAGGAGCAAGTTCTCCACGTTCTCCTGTTCTTCTTCCTATCCTAGTTCATTGACAATATATTGGGTCGTCAGAAAAGCCATGACATGTCTTTCTGTCCTTCTATGCAAAAATATGTCATGACTTTTCCAATGACCCCAATACATCAAATGCTCGTTTTCATTTTCTTTCTTTCTTTTTTTTAAGAATTATTTTTTGCTATAGGGCATACTTGGCAGAAAGACAGAGTCAGAGAAACAGAAAGCGAGAAATCACCCCCCAGGAGGATGGCCACACTGCAATCTCCTCTCTGAGTCTGACCGTGCTCGTCCCGTCTGTAAAGCGAGAGCCTGCACTGGCGCGGAGGGCTGTGCTATGCCCACGTTTCGGAGACTAGTGGACAGACACAGCCAGTCAGCACTTAAGAGCTAGTGTGACCATGGAATTAGTGTCGTTCCAGCCAGAGGGGGGAAATAAAACCCAACCTTTTAGTTAGTGTGGGTCGACGTATCACAAGTACAGTTTCCACGAGGCTTTACGAACCATGAAAAGTGGAATAGTAGCATTTAATGTCTGTCCAGTACCCATTTTGTGCCGGGCTCTGTTCCAAGTGCTGTATCTAAACACACACCTGGTAAGTGGGTGCACCAGGATTTGAACTGGTGCAGTGTGACCCTCGAGTCCGAGCTCCTGATTACTAGCTTGGAGGATTGCCTGAGAAACTGGCTCTTCTTTTGCACTTTCTAAACATGTAGTAGTTGACAATGGAAGTGTGGTGGGTGGTGGTTTGCACATAGGTGTGTGATACTCTCCTCTTTCTTTTTTCTTTTACTTTTTTTTTTAAAGATATTTTTGCTATGGGGTGCGTGCACTCACTAGAGAGTCCAAGAGAGAAAGCGAGAAATCACCCTCTGAGGAAATAGCCATGCCTCAGTCTCTTCCCTTCCACCCTCCTCTCGCGATTTTGGGCACACACACATATGTGCCCAGCATGAGTTTCAGGTCCCGGACTCAGACTGCAATTGGCTATGTGGGAATCCAGTGCCATAACCACGCTGTCACTAGCTGGCTCCACATACTCTTTGCTAAATAAGAGTTTCTATGAGTAGGGGCCAGCAGGTGGCGTGGTGGTGCAGGCACTGAACTCCCATTTAATCAGCCATGGTTTGAGTCACGGACCTGGTGGCTTGCTTTCTCACTTTCTCTTTCTGTCTCTCTCTCTGTCCTTCTCTGATCAAATTAAGAAGTAAATAATAGTAACAGATAAAATGAAAAATAAATAAACCTTAAGAAGAAGAGTTTGTGTGAGTGACTGGGAACGGGTGCCCCGCCTGCAGCCCTCATGGCCTTCCTCCCCCGTTCCAGGAGTGCCCGTTCACTGCAGCCACAGGATCCCCTTCGGAGACTGGTTCGAGTACGTCTCCTCCCCGAACTACTTAGCGGAGCTGATGATCTACGTGTCCATTGCCGTCACCTTCGGGCTCCGGAACTTCACTTGGTGGCTCGTGGTGGCATACGTCTTCTTCAGCCACGCTCTGGCCGCTCTCCTCAGCCACCGATTCTACAGAAGCACGTTTGTCTCCTACCCAAAGCACAGGAGAGCCTTCCTACCATTTCTGTTTTAAAGTAAGCCAGGGGAATGCCCGCTGCGTGACAGGCCCCGCTCCTTGAGGCAGCGAAGTCTGGGGACTGGAGCGCCGTTTCTGCAGGCCGGCAGCAAACCGCTCCGCTGTTGTGATAAAGTCATTGAAGGGGCAAAGCCACACCCCTCAGGAAAACGAATCTTCAACGTGTCTTCAAAGGAGAAATACCGGCAGGCCTGTTTGCGCGTCTGCCTTCTGAGATACTCTCTAAACCCAGACAACTGACCGAAGTACAGCCTTGCCTGAACTGCTCCTCAGGCAGAGGGGCCCAGAGCAGGCCAGCTTCATGCACACACATGACAGCGGAGGGGCTAGGGTCACCCCGGAACAGCCTGTGGGGAAGGCCAGCCTGTGTGTAGGAAAAGTACC